AGTAGAGCTGTGGCTCAAGTGGTAGAGCTCTAGCCCTGAGCATTTGTGCTCAGGGACAGTGCCCAGGCCCTGAGGTTTAAGATATATAGATATAGATATATAGATATTTAAATGTTTCTTCTGAGGAAGGCTCTATAGGTTTTACAACATGCCAATGAAGCCTATTGCCCATAGGTTAATAAACTGTTGATGAGGATAAAAGCATGAGCTTGCTTGCCCTACTCTATTCTCCCCAGTGGGAAGAGCTAGACCTTTCGGAGAGATCCATAGTTCTCCAGTCTTGCTTGTGACAGACTGGAAATATCGCTCTAATATCAGGGTGCAGTATTAGGAAACCAGATTTGCCCTATGTCCTTGGATATGTGGGCATTGCTTTAAAGGAGAATCAATGTATGTCCAGCTAGCCAATTTCCTGAATCTCACAGCTGGTTTCAAACTATGACAGAAATTTTACTTATTAGCTCCCCTTAAACACAAACATATAGCTAAGTGACAAAACGCTCTCTGTCCTATCTCCCTATGCTTTGGGGTCACTGCAACCATAGGATGACCTAACTAGGGACAGGCCCACATCCTGTCCTCAGGAAGGCAGTGGAGAAGGTCATGTGGGAAAGAATCTGGTATCTGGCCCTAGGAGGCTTGGATCCAGATAAATCTTGGCTCTGACACATTGCAGCTGGGTGACCTTGAGAAAATTACTTAGGACCCCAAGTGCCTTGTTTCCTCTTCTCTAATTGTACAGTGGTTCTGGAAGAACTATGTAAAAACATGTCAAATAGTTAGAATAATACCAGCATGTTGAGAGAACAGAGGGGGAAAACCTCCCTTATTTAACAGGCTAGGTAATTCTCAAATGCAGTTAAAGTAGCTCAGTATACTTTCCCTGTACACAAAATCAATCTTGAAACTGTGAAGGGTTATTTGATTAGATTTTACTGAAAATGATAGTTACCTGAAACACTGCGAAGACTCTGTCCAAACAGAACAAAGTCAGTTTTCCCTAATCAACAGGTTGACTTGATATCATTTAAGGGAGGCCATATGCAATAAGGAGAAATGACCCCGTTGTTTTTCATTGGAAAAGGGAAGGGGGGATATGAGGAGCTCAAGGCTCTAGAGATAGTGTGTCTGGTAAGAAAACAAAGATCTTTCTGTTACTTTGATAAAAGAAGAGCTTCTTTTGTAGGACTGGGTGTTTTTCAAACAGAAATAAAATAAGAAATAACTTCTCAAACTTGTCATTTATAAATAAGCACAGAGTCTACAGGCCGATCCACATAGGCAAACTTCATGGGTAGAATACATTTTTTTCTTGGAATTTTATTTCTATCATCTTGGCCTATGTTCTGAAATCTGACTCAGTAGAATAAGCTATGAAATTCGGGAGCCTTTTCTCCCCCCTCCTCCCTATGATTTCTTCTGAGTGCCCATTTTAATAGAGAGAACATTCACTTTCCACTAGCAGTTGATCCTACTGTGACTCTAGCTTAAATTGCTTACAGATAAAATTACATGAAGGCCGAATAAGATCTAGATTCTAAGTGGCATGCTTCCATCTCTAGTCTGCATTTTCTCCCATGCTACCAGGCTAAGCAATGTAGGGACTCCTCCTCATATAGGTTTGAAAAGAAATATACATTCTAGGAATTTAATCAGGGAACCTGTGGCAATGACCTCAAATGACCAATCTAGATGAGGACCACTGGAAGAGAAGGAACAAAGTGCAGCCAATGTTAAACAGAAACAGAACAGAATTTATTTCCCTCCCCAGCAATAGAGGGCTCAATAGCACTCACGAATAGCTTCTGCTGTAGCTCCCAGCAGTACTTGAAAGGACCAGATAGAGAGGGAGGAAGGACACCAAGCTGGGGACCTTGTGCAGGTCTCTGCTTGGCTCCCAAGGTCAAGCATCCATTCTTCCTCAGTTGCTTTCTGCACTGGCTCAAAGCTCGGGCACCACTGGCAGTGAGGTGCAGGGTGCTGTGCTGGTCTCTCCTAAGGAAACTTGGACTAGCTGGTTTGAAGTTGGTGCAATCTTCCGTGAGCAGCATCCGTAGGACAGTAGAACAATAATACCATAGAATGATAGTGCATAGTACTGGTTATTGGTCCTTTACTAATTGCCTTCAAAACTGATGATGACATTTCCTTTTTTCTGCTTTTAGGGTAGGAGGTTAGGGAAAGGGGCATTGATAAACATACATGTATACTTGTAAAAACAATTCATGCAGGCAGACTGGGCTTCAAAGTTGCAACAGAGAAGCTATAAAAGGCACTAAATGAACCGACAAGCAGGATGATGTATATATACATCAACAATCAAATATTATTCAGGCACAACGGAATCAAGTACATATTACAACACAAGTAAATAAATCTTGTCCTGATACATATTACTACATGAGCACATTTTTTAACTGATTTCATATTACAACATGAGTAAATCATAAGACAAGTGAAAGCACATTTTTTGTACAGTCTCATTACAGGAAACATTTAAGACCATTCAGAAGGTTGAGATCTGAGGATCACAGTTCAAAAGCATCAGGGATAAGAAAATCCCTGAGATTCTTTTTTTTTTTTTTTGCCGGTCATGGGGCCTGAATTCTGGGTCTGGGCGCTGTCCCTCAGCTCTTCAGCTCAAGGCTAGCGCTCTACCACTGGAGCCACAGCACTACTTCCGGCTTTTCTGTTTATGTGGTGCTGAGGAATCGAACCCAGGGCCTCATGCTTGCAAGGCAGTGTCTACAGCTGAGCTACCTTCCCAGCCCCTCCTTGAGATTCTTTTTTTTTTTTTTTTGTCGGTTGTGGGGCTTGAACTCTGGGCCTGGGCGCTGTCCCTCAGCTCTTCAGCTCAAGGCGAGCGCTCTACCACTTGAGCTACAGCGCCACTTCCGGTTTTCTGGTGGTTTATTGGAGATAGGAGTCTCACGGTCTCTCCTGCCCGGGCTGGCTTTGAACCGCAATCCTCAGATCTCAGCCTCCTGAGTAGCTAGGATTACAGGCGTGAGCCACCAGCGCCTGGCTTTCCCTGAGATTCTTATCTCCAATTAACAACCAAATAAGCCAGAAGTGGCTCAATCAAATGCTAAGAACTCTAGCACTGAGCAGAAAGGCAGAGGGACAGAGTTCAAGCCCCAGGACCAGTACAAAAAAAAAAATTTAAAAAGAAAGAAAATTGGTAGAAGCGAAAGCCTTGGGATAGTGAGGACTAAGTGCTTGATGGATACAGGAAAAGAAAAAGAAAAAATGATTTAGAAATGCAAGGAAGCCGTGGAAATAAAGAGTGAACAATGAAATAGATTTCAAGTGTTCACTTACCTTTCTGCAAGGAATTACTGTTCTAAAAATGGAATTATAACTGTAAATGTAAATATAAAATGGAAATTAAATACAGACAGTGAGAGATAAAAAGCCACACCAGGCCAGGCATGAGTGTCTCACGCTTGTAATCCTAACGCTTTGGGAGGTTGAAATCTGAAGACCGAATTTCTAAGCCAGCCTGGGCAAGAAAGACTATGAGACATTTTGTTTTTGCCAGTTCTGGAGCTTGAACTCAGGGCTTGAGCACTGTCCCTGAGCTTCTTTTGCTCAAGGATAGCACCACTCCCAGCCTTTTCTGTTTATGTGGTACTGAGGAATGGAACCCAGGGTTTCATGCATGCTAGGCAAGCACTCTACCACTGAGCCACATACCCAGCCCCTCTATGAGACTTTTATCTCCAACTAAACACCAAAAAGTAAAAAGTTGAACAGCAGCCTAAATGGTAAAGTGCTAGCCTCAAGCACAAAAGCTCAGGGACAGTGCCCAGGGCCTGAATTCAAGCCACAGGACATCACACACACATACAAAATAAAGCCACACCAGTAGTGCCTTTTATAGATCAGCGATAGGCCTGAAGGAGGACAGCTAGGTTGAGAGGGAGCACAAAATGCAAGGAGACCCTTTGAGAGGCAGGAGACAGAGGGGTTAAACTGCTCCTAACTGACATATTCAGTACCCATGTGAAACCTTATTTATTGCACTTTCTGTCGATTTTCTTTTCAAATTGCATTTTCAGTAATTACATTTCATACTTTATAAACAAACCTTTGAAATGAAATAAATACCACATTCACCTGTAAGAATTTTTTCACTTCCAATCTATAGTAATACAGATTCTATATTCTTCCCACTTCTTTATTTATCACATACTGGGAAACCATTTTTAGAGGGTCCAGCCTGAGACACAGGGAAACCTGGATGAACCTTGAGGGCATCTTGTAGAATGAAATGGCCAATCACCAAATGATAGACACAGAATGAGGCAAGAAGGTCAAGAGTCTCTATGGGGACAGAAAACTGGATGGGACATCTAGGGGCTAAAAGCTAAAAAGTGAGGACTTGAGTTTCCATTTTAGGAGGTAGAAAAGTTCTAGAACTCTGTTGCTCAGCTTCATTAAAAATGTATCTTATTTTTTTTTACTGCAATTGAAACTCCTATAAAATAGTTCATCTTGCTAAAATATTGAGGTGATATACACCCTTGAGGTAATTTTATTGTTTAGGGGAACTCTAAGTTGGAAGGCTTATAAATGAACCTAGTTTCAATGTGGAATCGTGTTAGGACAATAAAAATAGCCATGTCAACAATTAAAATTAACTCAAGGAAAGCCAATGACAGTTTGTAAATGCCCGTCCCTGTTTCTATGTTAAAAAAAAATCATGGGCCTGGGCTACTGTGCAAAGTTTGAAGTTTCAAAGGTAAACTACAGAGCTGTTAAAAAGTACCAAAAAGCAAGTGAAAGGTTGGAAGTTATTTAAGTCAAAGCTGATGTGCTTTGTGAGATGCCAAGTAAGGCAAGACTCAGGGCTTCTGCATAGTTGAGCTGGCTTTCTTTGCTCTCCCTTCTCTCTGACTTGTGTGTCTGGAGCCATGAGGCTGAGCATTCTGGACGGTCAATGTGGCCTGGGGAAATGGAGCCTGCCTGACACTTTGCTGTGCACTCTGGGCTTGTACCTGCACCTGCTGTGGCTGGGCAGGGGGAGGGGACTGGCAATTCTGCAAAATAATGTTGTGCCCAGTTTTTGACTGCTTCAATAGAGTTGCGTGGGGCAATAGGAAACTCCCCAATCCCTTAACTGTAATGACAACAGCTGGCTGGGTCTTTGGGGCAGGCTGACTGCTAGATCCCTCAACAAAAGCTTGGGGCACTGGGGGTCGTAGAGACTGTTTCTGTGGAAACAACTGATAAATCTTGGGCGTGGGGTTCAAGATGGCAGAACTAGATGGAATCTGTACAGTTACAGGATATGCACTGTGATTCACAATAAACTGCAGCCTCAATTGAGTAACTGTTGAGGCCACAGAACCACTGGGAGGAGGGACTTGCCCAGGAATGAGGGCATCAGAAGCACAGACCACGCTATTGACAGAGCCACTTACCAGAGATGAAGACTTTTGTTCTGGGTCTTCTACCTTGCTGGCTTTCAGGTTGCTTGAGTAGAAGGGGTTCCTGGTGGCCTGGATGCTTTTTGATGAGCTCGCAGGAGGCTTGGCGTCTGGAAGCAGTTGGCTTCCTCTGCCAACCCCTGCACTGGATTCCTGAGCCAGGCTGGCTGGCTTGGGAGCAGGGGGGAAAGGAGGAGGAAGGAGAGTGCAAGCAGGATTAGGAACATCAGCCTTGAATTTCGGAGATTTACTGACCTGCCGCTCCGAATGGCTGGGACTTGGGTATCTCTGTACAGAACTGCAAAACAAAACAAAAAAAGAGTGACACATGAATCTGGAGCTGTGACTCCCACCTCCCTTGCAAATCCCAAGGAAGAAGATGGAACTCACCTGGTGCTGGGCAAATTGAACTTCTCTGAGTAGGCGTGGCTGAGATCCGCTGAGCCACTGGACTTGGGTGATGTCTTGGGGGACACTAGGAATGCAGGGTTGGTCTGGACAGATTTGTGGCATGTACTAACAACTCTGCCATCATCGCTGTCTGAGTTGGCCACAATGAAACTGGAAGAGTCACCTGCGATGATCCTGGAGGTACTCATCGAGCTGTCATGTTTAGATTTTTTAGGTGTCTGTATATTTTCAGGGACAAATGTTTTACCAAATGGTGGCATCTTCTTCAACTCACAGCCGGGTTTCCATGCAAGCATTTCTCTTACTTCGGGAGTAAGCCAGTCTATTTTCTGGGAGTCACCCGATGGGACAGACGGCTTCCCTTTAGCATATTTTTGCACGTCCACGTGAGAAGGAGCGTCTAAGTCACAGGATTTCTGCTGCCATGTGTCCACACACTTCGCTGTTGTTGAAATAGTCGTATTATAAGGGTATCCCTTTCTTTTTTCTGCTCGTTTTCTGCAAGAAATCTTTGCCTCGAGCTCAGGAGGAGCTGTGAATTGAGGCAGCTCCTGTTGCCAATTCACGGAAGGCCATGGAGACCCTAAGAAGCTCCATCTCCTTGAGTTGTTCTTCATGGTCTGCTTGTTGCCTAGCTTGCTCTTGGTAGAGCAGGTGCCCAAGAAAGAAGGACCAAGGCACAGTGGATCTTCTTTTGCTAACATCAGCTGGTTCTCGAACTCAAATTTCTCTTCCTGGGTCTGCCAATGGCCACCCATTCTCATGGACTCCATTAAAGTCTGCCTGGCTGGTCTCAAGAGAACATGCCGACTTTGGTAATCAGATAGTTCCCTATTACTGCACTGCGTATAGTCACGAATTTCTGCTATGACACAGCCATGGTGAGAAAGATTCACCTCAGATTTTTCCAGGATATTGAACAGAAAAGGAGGTAATTCTTCTGCATCTAAATACTCAAGCATCGTCTCCTTTGAATAAGTCAGTGCTATGGTCTCTGAAAGGGAGCCATCTTTGTCTTTGATCCTAACAGTAAAGTCCCAATTTTCTGGGCTGAGTGTAATTACTAGACACGGAAAGGCCTCTCTCCTGACAAGCTTGTCTAGCAAGCTCTCATTGCTTCTGAACTCCTTTACCTCGGGATTTTTCCCACATTCTTCAATGTACAGGTCATAAAGTTTTTCCTGTAGAGATTTTTCTTCACGAGGTAAGGGCTTCTTTTTAAAGGGGTTCTTTTTGACATGCGTCTTGGCATTCTTTGTATCTTCCGATGCGTGTTCTGAATATCTCTGCATGGTCACACGGGACAGGAGCGCTGAAAGAAAAGAACTTATGGTGTTCAGTGTGGGGGGGGGGGTAGGGAAGTGGGGGACGGGGGGGGGGGTGTGGAAATTATTTCAGTAACGTTACTTATATTTCTTTGAAATTTCACAACTCGGCACAAGTAGAGTAACTGTGGCGCTCAAATGGCCCAGTGGCAGCCATGAGAGAAAAATGCGACGGAACAGCCGCCCGACCCTGAGTTCAAGTCCCGCTACCACCATGTTGGCCCGTGCAAACACACCAAAATGAATTAAATCGATAAATAAAAGAGCACAAGGCCCGGAGTCGCTGTCACAGGATTGAGGAGGGAGGAAAATGGAAGAAAATGGTGGACAAAAATTAAAAAAAAACAAAAAACCCCAAAACTTTACAATTCCGCATAGAAACCTCTCCTCACCAAAGAAACGACGCCCCTAGCCACAACCACATGGAGTTTGTGAGAATTTATGACCAAAACTGTACCTACTGAGCACAACTCCTACAATTTCCTTGGGTTTTCCCGCTCGTCCACCGACTCCGTCCTCACCTCAGAGTCTTCGGTTCGCCGGACGCGAACTACCTCAGGCGAGAAAGGGAAGCGGCGCTCCACGCATGCGCAGTAACAAGCGCGCCAAAACTCGAGAAGTCCTAGACAAACCCCCAGAAGCCCTAGCGAGAACCCCAGAAACCCTAGCGGCTGCTAGGGATGGCGGCCGTGATGGGTCAGGCCAGACTGATTGTTTTCATCTATGTAACACGCACATAGGATCAACCAGCAACAATGTGACACTTAAAAAAAACATTTTGTCAGTCGTGGGGCTTGAACTCAGGGCCTAGGTGCTGTCACTGAGCTTTTTTGCTCAAGGCTAACACTCTACCATTTTGAGGCACAGCTCCACTCCCGGTTTTCTGGTGGTTAAATTGGACGTAAGAGTCTTATGGACGTTCTTGTCTAGTCTGGCTTTGAACTGCCATCCTCAGATCTCAGCTACCTGAGTAACTAGGATTACAGATGTGAGCCACCAGTGCCTGGGGATAGCTTATTTTTTCAAGGCTGGATAATATTCCAATGTCTAGATACACCTCAGTTTATCCGCTCACTTACTAAAGGACATCTTATTTACAGTTTTTAGTAATTATGACCAATACTGCTATAAACATCTATGTGCAGGTTGGACATGCATTTTCACCTCATTTGGATAAATATCAAAACATGCAATTACTGAGTAGAGTAGTAAGAGACTTCATTTTATAAGACATCACCTTCCTGCATACTCCCACCCATGATGGATGAGTGTTCATGTTCTTCCACATTCTCACCAGCAACAAGGTGGTGCTAGTTAGCATGAGAAAAATACAGAAAACCCTATCTGAAAAATAGCTAAGGCAAGCAGGGCGCTGGTGGCTCACACCTGTAATCCTAGCTACTCAGGAGGTTGAGATCTGAGGATGGAGGTTCAAAGTCAGCCCTGGCAGGAAAGTCCCTATGAGACTCTTATCACTAATAAACCACCAGAAAACTAGAAGTGGCGCTGTGGCTCAAGTGGTAGAGTGCTTGCCTTGAGCTGAAGAGCTCAGGGACAGCACCCAGGCCCAGAGTTCAAGCCCCATGACCAAAAAATAAAAATAAATAAAAACAAAAAACAAAAACCTAAAGCAAAACAAAAAAGGTTAGGGGTGTAGCTCAAGTGATAGCACACTCTCCTAGTAATTCTTTTGTGTTTTTTCTTTTGGCCCAAAAAATGAAATACATTCATTTAATAAACCTAAGGCAAAAGAAGACACTGACTCTATAAGTCGTTCAATCTTACTCTGTCTTAGGAGGAAAGGGGAGGGAGGGAGCGTGAACCCAAGAAAGCCAGTTTTTCGGTTTTTGGGGTTTTTTTTGGCCAGTCCTGGGGTTTGAACTCAGGGCCTGGGCACTGTCCCTGAACTTCTTTTGCTCAAGGCTAGCACTCTAGTACTTGAGCCACAGGGCCACTTCTGGCTTTTTCTATGTATGTGGTACTGAGGAATTGAACTCACGGCCTCATGCATGCTAGGCAAGCACTCTACCACTAAGTCACATTCTCAGGTAGGAACCCAGTTATATAAAAGATGTTTACATTTATCTTGATTGGTAGTGTATATTCCTGGTGGAGATTTTCCTCAGGGATTCAAGGGCGAGCTCTTGGTCCCAGTTGTCCTTTCCTGTAGAAAGAGAAAGGAGCCATTTAAAACACATAATTGAAGAGCTGACTGCAAGGGAGAGGGAGGTCATGCCTGTAATCCTAGCTACTCAGGAGGCTGAGATCTGAGGATGGCAGTTTGAAGCCAGCCTAGGCAAGAAAGTCTGAGATTCTTCTCTCTCATTAACTAGCAAAAGCTGGAAGTGGAGATATGGCTTAAGCAGTAAATCACCAGCCTTGAGTGTAAAAGCTAAGCAACAACCAGCACAAGGCCCTAAGAAGTCCAACGGAGCGCTCTTGGAAGGTAGTTATCATAGTGCCTGGCTCTTCTCGTATCTTCTCTGCCAGGCTTTACACTGATTGCTTAATGGCTTGGGCAATGCACCTATCCCAGCTTTTTTCATTGGTGAAGTGAGCACCTAGGGTATTATGGGGAGGAGCATTTGAGCAGGAGCCTGAGACACTCTGAGAATAGGAATCACCATGATTGAACACATACTCTATGGCTTATGTTGTGTTACGTCCTTTAGTTTTTATCCCTATCCACCTAACAGTTCACCTTCCTCTCCTACTCACTTGCTCAGATGGAAACTGTAATTGTCATTAGAAAACAGAGGCAGTGATTGCTCTAGACAACTTCCTGCTGAGTGAGGACAGACTAGGATAGGACAGTATGGAATCATTCAGAAAGGGCGTTTTAGGCAGACAGGACATGATTTGTGTGCTGTTCCAACAGACCAGAGTAAAACTTGAGAAAACAGTTGATAGGAGGCTGCTTCTTCTTCTTCTTCTTCTTCTTTTTTTTTTTTTGGTACTGGGGATTGAACCCAGGACTTTGCACTTGCTAGGAAAGTGCTTTGTTAGTGAGCTACATTGCAGCCCAAGGCTCCTTTTTTATTAGCATTAGTAGCTTGATGGATTCCAATTCAGAAGAAACACACTTAATAAGAAGGTTGAGAATGCAGGTGCCAAATAGTAGCAGAATTAGGGGTCACCGGAAAGGTAGCAGCTAAGACAAGCAGGACCAAGTGTCTCCTCATGAGAGCTATCCTTGGATAGCTTGCTTCCTAAATTGAGATTAATCTGTGGATGTCTAACAAAAAAATTAAATGGCTTTTGTCATAACCTTTTCATCTGTACATATGATGCATATGATGTATTTCTTTTTAAAATTGTTATTATGAAGGTGATATCTACAGGAGTTGCAGTTACATAAGTCAGGTAATGAGTACAATTCTTTTTGGACAAGGTCACCCCTTTCTTCGCTCTTGCCCAGTTTTTCCCAATGTACTTCTTTTTACCATTTGTATTGGCATCTATTTCTTTTTCCTTTTTTTTTTTTTTTTTTTTTGCAGTCATGGGGTTTGAGCTCAGGGCCTGGGTGCTGTCCCTCAGCTCTTCAGCTCAAGGTGAGCACTCTACCACTTGAGCTACAGCGCCACTTCTGGTTTTCTGGTGGTTTATTGGAGATGAGAGTCTCATAGACTTTCCTGCCCAGGCTGGCTTTGAACCATGATCCTCACATCTCAGCCTCCTGAGTAGCTAGGATTACAGGCATGAGCTACTGGCACCAGGCTGGCATCTATTTCTTATACAAAGGTGTTTCAATATTTCCTTATAGGCATATAATATACCTAATCAAATTCATCCCCTCTATCAATCCCTTTCAATCCTTTCCTGTTGAAACAATTTCAAAAGTTTTTGTTGTTTTATTTTCACACGCTTATATTAAGAGTACTTCAACTATATTCAGCTCCCTACACACTCTCTTCCTCCTGCCAGTACCTAGCTCTGAAAACAGAACCTGTTTTACATTCTGGTTATTATTTGCCAGTGCTGTGGCTTGAACTCAGGGCCTGGGCACTGTCCCTGAGCTGCTGCTGCTTCTTTTTTTTTTTTTTTTTTTTTTCTCATGGCTACTGCTCTACCACTTGAGCCACAGCGTCCCTTCCAGCTTTTTCTGTTTATGTGGTATTGAGGAATAGAACCCAGGGCTTCATGCATGCAAGGCAAGCACTCTACCACTAAGCCACAGTCCCATCCCCTCATTATTCGCTTTTAAGGCCTAGTCCACATATTGAGAGCAAACACACAATTTTTGTCTTTTACTTTGGCTTGGATCAAATCCCATGGCCACTTTCTGAACTCTCATTGCATAGAGGATGGAACTGCACAGATCAGCTTAGCTTTGCTCAGACACCCCATCCCTGAGAAACTGAAGGGCAATGGAGTGCGGAGTAGGAATTGATACTAGCAGTACAAGCCCACAAGGTAGTTCCAAAAGCTAGGTATGGCTGTGGTTCTCTAACAAAAAATATAGTGACTCATTTCCTCACCCTCCCCACAATGTATGTTATTTGTAAAGCAGTGTTCTCAACCTTGGTACTACTTGTATTTGGGGCCAGATTCTGCTATTGTTGCTGGGAGGGGGTGGGTGGAAGGTACTTGTTCTCTGGAAGGCAAAATTGCTTTTCTTGAACCATCATTTTATAGCTGAGCCTCTTAGATAAGAAAAAAAAAATCTTCATCACAGATGTCTAGAGACATTTCCAATTGCCACAATTTTAAGGGTCTAGATAGCGCTACTGCCACCTAGTGGGTACAGGCCAGGGGTGTTACTAAACATACACATAGGATAACCTCCCCCCCCAACCACTCAAACATGTATTTGGACCCAAATCTTAACAGTGTCCAAGATGAGAAACCCTGTGCTAGCCAAAGTCACAAGATAGTGTCCAATCACCGTGCTTTAAAAAATTAATTTTATTATGGTTTTTTTTTGTTGTGTATGTGGTACTGAGGGCTTCATGCATGCTAGGCAAGCACTCTACCACTAAGCCACATC